CCAAACTGCTCGGGAAGGTTAACAACCTAGCTCAGAAAATAACCTGATGACCTTGACTTGAGTCAGCTTGCCTCCTTTGGAGCAATAATCCAATCTTGAGAAAAACTAGTATTGTGCAAAATTTGTCAACACCTTTAAAGCCTGAGCACTTTGTAGTTGACCTTTTTTCCCCAGTACTTCTTAATGTGAGTTGGAGCTGTAGTATTGCTCCCTGTTAGTGACTTGCAATACAATCAATTTTAGTGGTAATGTTCACTGAATGAATCCTGATCAGATGGTGATAACTTGTGTATCATCATCTTTTAGTGAAGCTTGGTTTCTCTGTTACCTATATCATAACTTCTCACTACTATTTAGTTTAAACTGAGATAAGGTTTTCTCGTGTAATCCTTTTTGTGCACCGTCGTCCACATGCAGGGTGCAGCAAGCATTTGTGCACCCTAGAGAGCAGATACCAATTTCTTTTAAAAAAAAGAGAGAGCAGACAACAATCCCTGCAGGTGGACATATAGGATAGACAAAAATGACGCATTGTCTCTAGAAAGGATAGACAAAGAACCTGTAGGCAAAGAACCTGTTATGCATAAGATATCTTGTAGGATGATGCAACTATCTGGTCGTGGCATACTAATGTACTCGGTTTTTTTTTGGATTGATGCAGGAGAAAATGTCGGGTCTTGATTCTTTGCTGGCGTACAATGAAATTGTTAGGAAGATATTTGGTAGTGAAACAGAAGGATATCTGTTTTATAACAAATACGCTAAGGGGAAAGGATTTAGTGTTAGGAAAAGCTATTGTGAGTGGGGCAACAGCCACAATGAGAGGACCCTTTGGAAGTTTGTTTGTAGTTGTGAAGGTTTCCGCGAAGAGAAGGAGCTGAAGAGGGAGATTAAGAAGCGAAAGCCACGGAATATTACTCGTGTTAGATGCCCTGCTAAATTTGTGATTGCATGGGATCAGAACACAGGGCAGTGGTATGTGAAGGATTTCATCTATGAACACAACCATCCAATGGCGGAACGAGACCTTGCTTGTCTTCTGCGTTCACATAGAAGAATCAACGATGAGCAAAAAGCTGATATTATGGCGATGCAGATTTCTGGGATCCGCAAACACCAGATAATGGATATTATGGAAATGCAGTACGGTGGGTATGATAAGGTTGGATTTATATCAAGGGACTTGTATAATTTCTGTCATCGCAATAAGGTAGAGACAGTTGCTGCTGGTGATGCTCAAACAGTCATCAGTTACCTAACAGAGTGCGGACGTAAGGATCCTGATTTCTTCTTCGACTACAAGACTGATGGGAAAGGGCACCTCAAGGGACTACTCTGGTGTGATAGTCAATGTCGGCTTGATTATGCAACATTTGGTGATGTCATCGTATTTGATAGCACGTACAAAACGAATCGGTACAACCTGCCCCTTGTTCCTTTTGTTGGGGTGAATCACCATGGCAGCACAGTTCTTTTTGCATGTGGAATTATTTCCCAGGAGACAATTGAGTCATATGTGTGGATTCTTAGCACATTCTCTGATGCCATGGTTTAGAAGCATCCGGTTTCCGTGATCATTGATGGAGACCTTGCTATGCAGAGAGCAATCGGGCTGGTGTGGCCGAATTCATCACATAGGCTATGCATATGGCATATTGAGCAGAACATTGTGCGTAATCTTCACGATGATGGTGTGAAGGCTGATTTCAGGTATTTCCTTAATGATTGTTGCTCCATAGAAGAGATTGAGAGGAAATGGCTGGAATTCTTGGATAAGCATAACGTTACAGATAAGGAGTCATGGCTGTATCAGATGTATAAGAGGAGGGAAATTTGGTGTGTTGCGTATCATGCTGATAAGCGCTATTTAGGACTGAGGAGCAACCAGCGGAGTGAGAGCCTAAACTCTAGGCTTCAGGTAAATCTAGATCATAAAATGACATTGTTCGAGCTGGTTGAGCACTTTGACCACTGCCTTTCGTGGCTACGCAGTAATGAAGCGAATATGGACTTTAAAGCATCGAATTCTTTGCCATGCTTAGAACCAGATGCTTCAATTATTGAGAAAGAGGCTGCGAAATCGTTCACACCAAGAATTTTTGCCACGGTGCAGTTCAGCATAAAAGCAGCCAACAAGTGTTTTGCGAGAGAGATTCTAGATGACTATGATGCGATTAAGTATATTATTGGCAGGGAGGATAAAGGAGACAGAGAATACCATGTGGAATGTGAGATATGTGTTGATGAAGGCAATCTGAAGGGAATTTCTTGTTCTTGTCTTAAGTTACAGTCCCTTGGAACCCCCTGCGTACCATCCAGAGAACTTTTTGAGTTGTTTGTATGGTGGTCTCTTCAATTTATTAAAGTCTTCTTGATGAGTCATTTGTATGGTGGTGATGATGCTGCTTTTGTGTTTTTGTGCATTTGTATGGGTCACTAATGATGTTGTGCTGCTGCTGCTCCATCTCAGTTGGTGCTGCTGATCACTATCCAATCACTGTATTAATTTACACAGCACCCCAACATATATGTTGCAAGCACTCCAACACACAGATGAGAGAAGAAATATGTTGCAAACAAAGTTAATTAATCAACTATACAATGGTGCTTTGCAATTATGTCAAACCTGCGGAGGCAACTGATAAGCTTAGCCTCATCTACTGTCAGTGCAGGGCATGTGGGTACAACTTCAATTGTCAGCACATCAGACTACAGTTGTCAGTACAAAGCATTCAAGCATCATTCAGGTAGCACCTCAAAACATATTTCACTGCATAGTGCAGAAATTAAGCGGATCAATGGTCGGTTTGGCTGAGATAAATTAGGAAACCCCCAAAAACCACCCTAGGTGCATTGATGGTACCGCTAGAGGAGAGTGGGCTCGAGAGGCGGTGGCAGGGGTGTAGGCCCACCCATGTAGAGCCGCCCCGCGACTGCCTTCCTCTGGTCGATTGCTACGTGGGCCTAGACTTCTCTTGCTTTGGTGTTCTGCCCAGATGCGTCGGTTGTTTGGGCTTTTGGCATGATTCTACTTATGTTTGGGCCTTCATTTGTCTGGTTGTGGGCCCGTCCCCCTTGGGTTCATGTTAGATGTTTGCATTGTTGTATTTCTTGTACACTTTAGGTACATTTTTCATGTTATTCCGACATGTCCTCCTGCAAATGACGAATCACCAAAACTTGTGGAAAGTGTTAGTTCTAAAGTCCTATTTCTAGGTTTGGTGTTCATTCGAGTGGATTTTACGCGAGTGTTGGTGGTTAAAAGTAGGAGTTAAGGACCGCCAACAAGCTCTCCCACAAGTTGATATATCTTAAGGAAAAAACAAAGACAAGTACAGAAGATGGACAACAAGACATAAAACCATCTCTAAAAAATAAAAATACATTAAAGATCAAAATGGTCATCTTCTTTCTTCAATCGTCCACCGCTTGTAGGATATTGAAGATCGCACTGAAAAGACAGCAAAGAAAAGGGACATCTGCAAACACCCTCGTCAAATAAGCCTTTGAAGACCACAAAAGCCACTCGTTGCTGACAACGAGAGCTAGAAACCACTGAAAGAACATCAGCTCAAGGAACCCTCCAAGGGACGCAGGCTTACAATCATTTACCATCAGAACAGAGTTTTGAAGATACCAGATCTTGCTATAGAGAAGACCAAAGCAAGATCAAGGTTGAGATTGCCGCATCGAAAGCCATCCAAATGCTTCCTCTGATAAATATACCAAGTGCCAAGATCCGAAGAGGGTCAACAAATCTGACACACCAAATTCTCGCTGCCCTTTCGTCGATCGATACATGATGGAGGGAGAGGGAGCTCGTGCAGGAAGGGTGGAGGATGAAAGGTCGAAATAGATAGATACAAAACCTTTGGCATCTCTCGGGATGACTGCAAGTCGTCAATGAATCATCAACCAAATTATCGTTGCCCTTTCATCGATCCATACATGATGGAGGGAGAGGGAGCTCTTGCAAGAAGGATGGAGGACGAAAGGTCGAAATAGATAGATAGATAGATAGATAGATAGATAGATAGATAGATAGATAGATAGATAGATAGATAGATAGATAGATAGATAGATAGATAGATAGATAGATAGATAGATAGATAGATAGATACAAAATCTTTGGCATCTCTCGGGACGACTACAAGTCTTCAATGACTCATCAACCAAATTCTCGCTGCCCTTTCGTCGATTGATACATGATGGAGGGAGAGGGAACTCGTGCAGGAAGGGTGGAGGACGAAAGGTCGAAATAGATAGATACAAAACCTTTGGCATCTCTTGGGACGACTGCAAGTCTTCAATGAATCATCAACCAAATTATCGCTGCCCTTTCGTCGACTCTTGCATGATGGAGGGAGAGGGAGCTCTTGCAAGAAGGGTGGAGGACGAAAGGTCGAAATAGATAGATAGATAGATACAAAATATTTGGCATCTCTCGGGACGACTACAAGTCTTCAATGACTCATCAACCAAATTCTCGCTGCCCTTTCGTCGATTGATACATGATGGAGGGAGAGAGAGCTCGTACACGAAGGATGGAGGACGAAAGGTCGTAGATAGATAGATACAAAACCTTTGGCATCTCTCAGGATAAGTCCCAAGTCTTCAATGAATCATCAAATGCAACCTCGAAGTGGCCCTACAATCCTTGACTTCTTGTGGTCTGCCATTCATCAAGCATGTGAAAATGAATCGCAAAGTGAAAAGATACGTACAAATTAACGGTTGGGCAACGACACATGAGCATCTAAAGTACGACAAAGGTTCTATTCGCTTTGCTAAAAAGTTATGGCTAGAAGTATTGTTCGCTGATTTGTTGCGAAAAAAAATATTATTCCTTCGCTAAAATAGTACGGCTCATAAGACGAACTAACGTGGCCAAAGACAAGCAGCCAAGCAGTGTCTGCACACCACACAGCACACACTGCACTGCGCTAAAGTAGTACTAGCAGATCGGCCGGACGACAGTCCTAGCCAGTAGCTAGGTAGCAATGGTTGACCTGCGTCTCCACGTCGTCGCCACCGTCCTGGGCATGGCCCTGGCGGCAGCTGCCGGCAAACAGTTCGAGTTCCAGGAGGCCACCGTGGACGCCCTCCACCAGGGCTTCAAGAACGGCAGCCTCACATCGACGGCGCTCGTCCGGTTCTACCTGGACCAGATCGCCCGCCTCAACCCGCTGCTGCACGCCGTCATCGAGGTGAACCCGGACGCGCTCGCGCAGGCGGCGCGCGCCGACGCCGAGCGCTCGGCCTCCCGCGGCCGCTGCGCCGTCGGCCTGCACGGCATCCCCGTCCTGCTCAAGGACAACATCGCCACGCGCGACCGGCTCAACACCACGGCCGGCTCCCTCGCGCTGCTCGGCTCCGTCGTCAGGCGCGACGCGGGCGTGGTGACCCGCCTCCGGCGCGCCGGCGCCGTCATCCTCGGCAAGGCCAACCCCTCCGAGTGGTCCAACTTCCGCCCCGTCGACAACGGCTGGAGCGCCCGCGGCGGCCAGACGCGGGTATCGTTAATACTACTTCAAAACTTCGATTGGTAGAGAAATCTGATACTGCGATGCGTGAAATTACAGAATCCATACGTCCTGTCCGCGACGCCGTGCGGGTCGAGCGCTGGGCCTGGCGTTGCCGCGGCAGCCAACATGGCAGCGGTGACACTGGGGTCCGAGACCGACGGCTCCATCCTCTGCCCATCGTCGCTCAACTCTGTGGTTGGCATCAAACCGAGTGTTGGGTTGACTAGCCGGTCCGGTGTCATCCCCATTACGCCTCTTCAAGACACGATTGGGTAAGAAACAGAAAATACACACCGGTTATATTAAACTCAAAAGTGTTCGCTATGTTGCTTTGGACACCAACATGGTTCGAGATGTTAAACTCCAAGCACTGATTTCAAGTTCAATATAGATCTGTACTACATGTCTAATAATTTGTAAGCCCTAGTTTACATTCTGGAGCTAAAGTTTACACGTGTCACATCGGATGTCACATGGGACTACGGGAGTATTCGATAGTAATAATAAAACAAATTAAACAAATCCTCAGTAATCCGCGAGACGAATTTATTAAGCATAATTAACCCGTCATTAGCATATGTGTTACTGTAGCACCACGTTGTCAAAACATAGACTAATTGGTCTTAAAAAATTCGTCTCGCAAATTAGTCGCAATCTGTGCAATTAATTATTTTTTTAGCCTATATTTAATACTCTATACATATGTCTAACCATCCGATGTGACAGGGACTAAAATTTAAGAGGGGTAACAAACCAGGCCTAAATAATAATGGCCATTGACCTGTGTTTGTCAATGCAGACCAATGTGTCGCACAGTATCTGATGCCGTCTATGTGTTGGACGTCATTGTCGGCTATGACGAGCTTGATGCTGAAGCCACCGGAGCAGCTTCCCAGTACATCCCGCATGAGGGATACACTCAGTTCCTGAGCATCCATGGATTGAAGGGCAAGAGGATCGGTGTCCTCGATGTGTTTTTTCAAGGATACGATGACATCCAATTGGCGGTTTATGAGAAGCATCTCGATACAATGAGGTACTCCTTCCAGCTGTGTTAATACATGGCGGTGTCTCGCAGCAAAACTATACTAACAATAGGCCAACTTGGCTGTTAATACTCTATTGATTAACTTCGTCTACTCTTCATGGAAGGCAACAAGGCGCTGTCGTGGTCAAGGATCTTGACATTGCAACAAATTTCACTGATCTGGATGACCAAGAGACTCTGCTGATGAATTCAGAGTTCAAGTTAAGCATCAATGCTTATTTGTCAGACCTACTGTACTCTCCGGTTCGCTCCCTTGCACAGGTCATAGCATTCAACGAAGCGCATCCTGTAGAGGTAAACCAAATAGTATTATTCCTGTCTTCCACATATTTTCAAGATATATATGATCAGATGATGCTATTTCCTGTTGTGTTGGTGTTGCAGGAGAGACTCAAAGATTTTGGGCAGCCAGACCTGATTGCCGCGGAGAAAACCAATGGCATTGGCACCAGGGAGAGAGCTGCCATCCAGCGGCTCAAGGAGATATCCACCAATGGGTTGGAAAAGCTGATGAAGGAACACCAGCTGGATGCAATCGTGGCGCCCAACAGCGACGCCTCCTCTGTTCTCGCCGTCGGGGGCTATCCGGGCATCGCCGTGCCGGCGGGGTACGACGGGCAGGGAGTCCCCTTTGCGATATGCTTTGGTGGGCTCAAGGGCTACGAGCCAAGGTTGATTGAGATCGCTTATGCGTTCGAGCAAGCTACAAAAGTCAGAAGACCGCCTAGTTTCAAGAGGTAGGTAACTAGCATGATGACACGCCATAGGAATTTAACGAAAATAATTTCAATGGAAATAAGCACCTTCAAACTCTCTGGGGTGTTATTATTTGAGGAATCGCTCGGTATATAATAGAATGGTTTATTGTGAGACCATCTCATATTTCTTTGTTGGATAAAAGCATCTCATATTTCTGGAATGTTTTTATTGGTGGAATCGCTTGATATACAATCCAATACTCATTGTGAAACCATCTCATATTTTTTTGGTTGGATAAACCCATGTATCTTTCTTTTTTTGACAACAGATAAACCCATGTATCGTTATTAAGGCAATCATGTGCATGTCATAGATGAAGTGACAAAAGCACATCTCATTCTCCAAACCAAAACATGCAAGTAGTAAGAAGGCAATGGTGCCAATGCAACACCCAATTCCTTATACCAGACGCCCCCTTAAAATATATTGTTGAGCTCTATATTGTGATACTGCTTCTCCCCGGCTACCGAATAGGAAATTTACTTGTTCATTGACTCTGGCTATTGTTATTTTCATGAACTTTCAGACCGTGTAATTGCGGGACCATTGTTATCAAGTACAAAAATGGCTTGAGGCCATTTTATTATTAAACTTAGTGGCTTCCAGCCACTTTGCACATCATCGACTTAGTATCATTTAACAATATTAGGGGTCCGGAAATGTATTCTCAAAGTTCAAGGACATAATTAACATACCTAGACAGGTTCAGAGGTCTGTCATACATTTAACTCTTTTATAATGTAATAGAAGAGAATATAAGTATCTCTAATCAAGAGTTAGGCTTATACACGTATTCAAAAAATGTCGATGCTATAAGCTACTCCCTCTGTCCCTTTATTTATGTCGTTGTAGCTTCTGGGTGGATTCATCAAAGGGCCTGAATACCTAGACAAGTTCGGAGGTCTGTCGTACATTTAACTCTTTTATAATGTAATAGAAGAGAATATAACTACCTCTAATCAAGAGCTAGACTTATACACGTGTTCAAAAAATGTCCATGCTATAAGCTACTCCCTCTGTCTCTTTATTTGGGTCGTTGTAGCTTCTGGCTGGGTTCATCAAAGATTCTCTGAATGTAGGCAGAGGAGTCCAGATGCATGACAAATGCAGGGAATCTAGACATTCAAATGCTACTCCCCAACGACAGTCAATGTGGAACGGAGGGAGTATGTGATAAGTTAATATTTTTAGTGAAGTCGTCCTAAAGCTAGCTTGTGGTACTGAGAATGTCTTATGGAGAGCCTTTGGCTCGTGCCTCACCTCTCGGGACACTAGTCTTCAATGAATCAAATGAAACTTTTGAACTGGTCCTGCACCACTTCTTGTCTGCCACCTAGAATTCGAGACGGCACACCACACAATGCACTGCACTAAAGTGAAATGAAACAAATGAATAGCAACTGCAGCAAGACTTGAGCATCTAAAATACTCTCTCTATCTTTTTTAAATGTTGCTATGGTATCTATAATGGTCAAACTTTTCTAAATGTAACTAGGTTGCTAGAAAAATTAGAAATATTTTATATCTTTAAATAAATTTATTATAAAAATAGATTCAACGATTTATCTAATGATACTAATTATATACCATAAATATTAATATTTTCTTATATATATTTAATCAAAGTTGAGTACGATTAATTTTTTAAAACGGAAGTTGTGTTCACTGTACTAAAGAACCCACTATGTTCTAAATAAATTAATTTATAGAGTTATCTTAAATTATCTTTTAATTTAATTAAATTTATAAAAAAAAGTATAATGATATCAAATTATTATTTTAGATACACTATAAAATATATTTTTATAACATATTTATTTGATGTCATAAATAATATACTTTTCTTTCTACAAGTTCAGTAAACATATATAAAAAGGTTAGAGTAAAATGCATGGATAGTCCACTAACTTGTGAAGTTGTGTTGATTTGGTCCATCAGGTTTGAAAAGTGCAATTTTTGTCTAAAATCTTGATCAGTGGTGCATAAAGAGTCCATACCCCTTCGTTTTATGTTTATATTTGTAAAAAACCTATATTTCCTTTTCCTTCACAAGCTTACCCTCATTGAGGTTGTTGGAGATCCAGCCGGGCCGCCCGCCGGTCACGGTGAGTGCGTCCACGATGGCGTATATGTGCGAGCTCATGTAGCTCCCCAGCGCGACGGTGAGCAGCGTGAAGGACGTGCACATGCTCTTCATCTTCTCCTGCGCCTCCTTGTAGAAGAACTCCAGTTGCGCGATGTAGTAGAACACCTCCCCGTCGGCCAGCACGAAGTACCGCGGCACCCGCCACGCGATGCTGATGGACTCGCCGTGGCACGCGGCATCGAGGAGCTTCATCTCCACCAGCGGTGCCACGACCATCGTGCACGCGATGAGCAGCCTCCCGATGCCCATCCGCTGTAGCTGCGATAGCTCACCGTGCACGGGGGAGATGGCCTGGAGCGCCGGCACGGTCATGGCGTCGTAGATGAGCACCCACGCCAAGACGCAAAGCACCGGAAAGGACACCATGGACACGGCTGGGACGATGAGCGACATCACCCGCATGTCCATCACTCCGCCCTGCTGCACGAACGTGCTGTTGAGCTGCGCGTACGCCACCGACAGACAACATGATGTTGGTTGCCCATATCGGGAGCAGGCCAGCAGGATGTTGAGCTCCTCCACCTGCGTCACCATGCAGAGCGTCCACGACGACCCCTCGGCTACTGCTGCGGTGGCAGCATCTTCGTCACCTCCTCCAGGTCCGACAACACGACCACCATCGCCTTGTTGAGGAACCCAAACTCGTCGGTGTGCATGATCTTATCGAGCCGCTCGATCTTATCGTGGACCTCGCCGTAGCAGGAGGAGAGCCCATCCATGAAGTTGAGCACACGCGTAGTCCTTGCCGCCGCCGTCTCATCGTCACCGCCGCTGCCATGCAAGTAGCAATTGGTATTTCTTAACGTCTACAGAATGAATCCACAAGCATACGGAATTATCATTGTAGCTTTCATCCAAAAGAATTCAGGGTCTCGTATTTCCATAGAGAACGGAGGTATTTCTTCTAGCTAATTCGTCTAAGGACAACACAAGGATAGCTGATAAGGGTAGAGAAGGATTCATATGGCTTAGGGTCTAAGGATAGATAAACTATACTTATACTTGCTTACTTCGGGCATTGGATCGCACCTGGTCTGCCAAGTGATGCCGGCCTGTAGCTCTACGCCGTACCCGAATGTGGGAGATTACAAGGGATGGACAGGGCTGTCACCACCTGCCGCCTACCCCTCAATCATAGAGTTTGAGGCAAACAAAGGTAGCCTCTAGCCTAGACACCACGTCTACGCTATCGACTACTACTCTAGCGTCGATCAGGGTTATCCGACTTTATCGGGAGCCCTCTACTAGAGTATCCGCTACGGGGATGGACAACGAACCCGCAAACAAGTAAAAGTATAGCTTAACTAATCAAAAGTCTTTTATAACCAAAGAAACCATGGACACTTACTAAGATACCCGTCGAGGTACAAAGCACGTATTCATCGAGGTACAAGCGGGGAAAGGTTACCGACAAGTCCGTTACTTCTTTCCCGAACTCTCCCTCACATCTCTCCCTACTAATTTGCTAGAGCTAGCTAGGTGCGAAGCCCTTGGAGTGGGATGCTCTTGCTCTTGCTTTGCTCTTCTTTTGTGTGCTGTTGTGAATGGAGGGGGTAGCTTCTTCTTATATAGTGCTCCATGGTCGGTTTGGCTGAGATAAATTAGGAAACCCCCCAAAACTGACCCTAGGTGCATTGATGGTACCGCTAGAGGAGAGTGGGTGCGAGAGGTGGTGGCAGGGGTGCATGCGCACCCAGGTAGACCTGCCCCGCGATTGCCTTCCTCTGGTCGGTTGCTGCGTGGGCCTAGACTTCTCTTGCGTTGGTGTTCTGCCAGATGCGTCGGTTGTTTGGGCTTTTGGCATGATTCTACTTATGTCCGGGCCCTGATTTGTCTGGTTGTGGGTCCCTCCCCCTTGGGCTCATGTCAGATGTTTGCATTGTTGTATTTCTTGTACACTTTAGGTACATTTTGCATGTTATTCCGACATGTCCTCCTGCAAATGATGAATCACCAAAACTTGTGGAAAGTGTTAGTTCTAAAGCCCTATTTCTAGGTTTGGTGTTCATTCGAGTGGATTTTATGCGAGTGTTGGCGGTTAAAAGCAGGAGTTAAGGACCGCCAACAAGCTCTCCCACACTTACTTCTTTGCTCGTCCTCGAGCAAAGCTTAGAGACAAAAGTAATCATGAGCATAACATCCTAAGATATATGGCTATACATAAAAGTTATTCCAACACATTCTTTACACAAGTGGGATATGTCGCGTTAGCTAACATGTTTCCTTGGGTTGTTGAAAAGTGGAACAGTTCTCGAAACAAAGTCATCTTCTCAATTTCACATCTTAGCACTTGGAGTTTTGAAAGTTTTTCCCAAGCAAAAGCATAGTTCACTTTATACTCCTCAAATGGCACTCTCAAATCACTCAGTGGTGTATAAATCCTTACCAAGGCATAGCAATGTTTTGCCTTCTTTTGTTTTCTCCTACTTCTAAAAATGTTTATGTGGAGCTTTAGGTAGGGATAAACAAAATAACATACTTGTATTGCATATGTTGTAAAGTCAAATCGAGAATCCAAGGAGAGAAGTGTCATACTCTTAGATCAAGATGTGCATGTGTGTGAAAAAAGGTGAACTAAAACTATACTCCTTTTGTAGATATGATCTCTCTCTATAACTTATTATTTTGAAACATGGCTATCTTTCTCCCTTCTCTTTTTTCAATACATGATCCTTCATGTGCTCATCATTTTTTTATACTTGGACCTTCCTGTGTCCATTTTTTAAAAAACTTTTTGCATAGCCCATGTCTCTTTTTCTAAACCACGTATTTGGAGAGATCATTATCTTTTTATAACATGGAGTATGTGCCTAACAAACATATTTTTGTCTACTCC